GGGGAAAAAATGAGAAAACAAAAATAATGCAAGCGCGCCCCATGGCTAACAGCGTTCCAATTAGGGACAGTTCGACTCCGACACAGTTCGAATTTCGCACAGTTCGATTCTGCTCTTGTTCTGTTTTGACACATGTTCGATTTTAGGTCTGTTCGATTTTGGAAGTGTTCGAATTCGTCGTACCCCCAAAACCTGAAATACAAAGGCTCCTGTAATAGAAGGGCCCCCCCCTCTAATTTAAGGTTTCTAGGATTACGGTAGCTTGAAAATCTAGCTCCTAGCCCCAGCAAAACTATCGTCAGCTACCGTAATCCTAGCTAGATCTACGGTAATCCTAAAATTTAATAGTAGTAGTTTATGATTACGGTAGCACAGCCGTAGCTAAACAGGAGCCAAATAGGCAAGGATTACTGTAGTGCAGAGCCGACCGAGCCAACCGCTTTTTAGGCCTCGGACATCGGGACACACAGACAAACAGACGGAGGATCCTAAACAAGCAAAAAGTGTAGTTTAGAGCTTTAGATTCGAGGGTTTTTGAAAGCTTGGGACATCCTGACAATTAGACAAAGCAGGGTATCAAAACAATTTCATGTGTCGTAGAACCTCTATTAGAAGGACCCTCGGAAGGTACCTGGGAACAATAGAAGGGCTGGCCCTTCTAATACAGGGAATTTTGGGATTTTTAGGGATTTTTTAATTCACAAATTTCTCATCTATTTTTCTCAACTTTCGGACTTTCTACCACTGCTCTGTTCACCGAATCTTTTAATTTTATAATTTTTGCTCTATGAACCGGAACAAATACTAAAAATGAAAGAAAATCGTGTTCGACGTCTTCTTCTGAATCTTCTGAATCTGTCTAGTTTCATCTTTTTTTTCTCTGTATATTTGAGCAAGACTCTCACTCTCTGTGTGCAAAAAATTTCCTTTTTTTGAACAATTTTTTCTCTTTCCGATTGGCTATGGAAATTGGGTGTTGAATTTCACACACACACACACACACACACAAGAGATTCCTCGGGAAATTTGGAAATTTTCGGACCAAATTTTGCACATTTTTGAGGCGGATTTTGGGATTTTTTGGAACATTTTGAGATTCTGAAAAATTGGAAAAATCTGAACAAACGCTCGTTTTATCCAAATTCAGCTTTAAAAATGGCAAAAAATTCGGAAAAGGTGAAATTTCAGATTTTTGGATTTTTCGAAATTTTGGAATTTTTGTATTTCTGAATTTCTAAATTTCTGAATTTCTCAATTTCCGAATTTCTGAATTTTTAAATTTTTGAATTTCTTGGATTTATAAATTTTTGAGTTTCTGAATTACTGAATTTCTGAAAATTTTGGGATTTCAAAAGTTTGGAAATGTTGAAATTTGTGGAATTTTCGATTTTTAATAGAACCTGCAATATTCTCAATTTTCGCACTTTTTGGACTTTCATTATTTTTCATATTTCCTCTTTGCTCTTCCACTTCCACTCTTCCTATTTATTTTTCTTCCTTTTCTTCACCCCTTTTTTCCATGTTTCCTCATTGTTTTCTTCTCCGGACATATGAGTTTTCTACACCCAATGAACACAAAAAAAAAGGAAAATAAGAAGAATGAGAAGAGATTTTTCTCGGGTTTTCGCAACTTTTTTTTCTTGGAAAAAAAAATAAGGAAAGGCGAAAATTTGGATTTCAAAAAGGAAATTTTGCCTAGAATCTTGAATTTTTGAAAATTTTGAAATATTGAAATCGTGGAGGTCTAGAATTTCAGAATTCCAGAATCTCAGAATCTCAAATTTTCAGAGATCCTGAAATCCTAATCCCGAAAAATCCCCAATTTTCCAGTTCCCAACTTTTTTTTTCCTCCAGATTCACTTTTTTTCAGTAAAAATGACCTGGATAATCTCCAAAAAATCATACTAATCACACTTTCAGTCATATGACCATTTAGTTGTCTTCTAGTTAATCCTAGCTTTTTGAGCTTTTTTTTAGCTCTTTTGAGCCTTCCCCCACACGTTTTTCTGCACATTCCTACTGTAGTTTTGAGCCAATTTTTGGCTTAAAAAAAGTATAGAAAATGACTGAAATTGGATGAGAAAAGGGCTTTGAAAGTCTAGAAATTCGGTACAGAGGTACTGTAAAAAGTTATCATTGATCCAAAATTTTGAAATTTTTGAAATTTTCGCTAAAATTGTTGCCTGAGAAGGTGCTGAAAATTGGAGTTTTTTTTTTGAAATTTGGGAATTCTCAGTTCAGATCTATTTTTCCATTTTCATTTCACTCGAAATTGGTTGTTTTTTCCATTGTTTTCCTCTCCATTTTTTGGCTCATTCGTTCTAGCATACCAGCCCAATAGCTGTGAAATAAATGAATGAGAATGGAATAAATTGGTGTTTTGAACACTCACTCATCCGCCTTCGAATTCTGAATTCTGAATTCCAAGCATTTTATTTGTTTCGTTTTTTTTTTTTTTGGAAAAAATACGCATTTCAGCATTTTTCTAGTGGTCCATCAGTCATTTCTCACCCACACAGGATTAATTTTAGAGCCTCCATTTGACAGCCTGACCCATCAATTTTAATCCCAATTTTTTTTTTCGTTTTTTTTTGGCTTTGAAAAATGAAGAGCCAGGAGAATTGGGAAAAGAGGAAGAAGACGAAGATTGGTTTTTTTGAATTTTTGAGTGCCGTCAATTTTTTTTGGAAATTAAAAATTCCTTCTAAAATGAGCAAATTTAGACGATGATTGGTATTCTGGTCCCGAATTTCAATGAATCTGGCTCATCGAAGTCCTATTTTTTGAGAAATTTCAGGCTTTTTAGGTTTTTGGACCACTTTTGGTGTTCCTGGAAATTTGGGATTCTGGTCCTGGTGTTTCTGAGGCATTCAGAAAAGTTCGGGAGAATATAGTTTTGGAATTTTTGAAGTTTTGAAAATTTTTTGAATTTTTGGATTTCTGAATTTCTGAATTCCATAATATTAGAATCCTAGAATTCTAGCCATTCAGAGTCTTAGAATTTCAGAATCTCTAAATTTCGCGGAATTCCAGAATTTCGAGTTTTCAGGATTTCAAATTTTGGAAATCGTAGGATCCAAGAATCTTTAGGATTCTTGGGTAGAATAATGAAAACTACAGTAATCCTTGAAAACTACAGTCTTAACGAAAATGTTCAGAAACTACAGTAATCTCTTTCGTTTCTCCAAGGCTCCTCTAGTTCCGATCCAGGAGTGTCTAGGAACCAGGAAACTACAGTAGTCCTTTTAAGGACTACATTAATCCTTCTTATCTCTCTTCAAGGCTACTGTAGTTTCTAGATTCTCAGTTATTGCTCGATTCTCAGGTATTGCAGACAAAACTACCGTAACCCATCTAATGTACACTAGTCCTTGCTATGTTTCTGGATCATTGTAGATTCGATGAGTTACTGTAGCTTTATCTGAGAACCTAGAAACTACAGTAATCCCTCTCATCTCTTCAGGGCTACTGAAATTTGTTGCTTGCAAGGATTACTGTAGTTTAGTTTTCCAGCTACTTTCTGAATTTCTGAGTTTTTGAACTTCTCAGTTTCTGAATTTCCAACTTCCTGAATTTTGGAATGTCTGAAATTCCAGAATTCGTGACATTTCGAATCTTCAAAAAAACATGAATTTTTGCTCCTTGATTCTATCACAGAAACTAACTACCGGATTAATGAAAAAAATGAGGAAATTGAACTGGTCGTTCTCCTTCTTTTTTCTCCGTTTTTTTTGCCTTTTTTTATAGATGAGGTCTTCTTTTAATTTCCTCACCCTCTTCTTCTTCTTTTCCCTCCTATTCCTATTCCAATAAGAAGGAGATGGAGATTCCACATTGTTTTTTTTCAGCGTTTTTTTTCCATTTCTAGGCAACTTTGGCAATTTTTTTTGTTGGAACCAAAAAAATAGAAATTTATTGAATTTCTTGTCAAATAAGAGACTTCCGAAACTGATTCCATAGGTTGATTTATTCCTATTTTTCCCGCTTTTTCCGATTGTCTGGTTTCTAGAAAAAAATTTGGCTGAAAATCGATTGGCCTTGGATTTTTTGGCTTTTCGTTCAGTAGCGCGAAATTACTTATTATTTGTCGATAGAGCGAACTTTCTTATTATAGTTATAGAATCGCCTTCTGATTTTGACAAGAGAGGATTCTGCTGACGTGAACAACAACAACAAGAGTTTGTCCCTTGTCTAGCTCGGCAAATTAGACAAAAAATGAGCCAAAAAGGCAGGAAATTGAAAAAAAATATCGTCTCATGATTTCATGATTTCTCCCAATTTTCAGTCTATTTTCGATTATTCTCAAGCTGAAGGTGAGAGATTTTTGTCTGAAATTCGTCTGACATTACAGCCCCAGAAACGTCTCTAGGGAATCCCTACAGAGTATATAGGTCAGAAAACGTTTTTTTTTATTAACAGCGTCATTGCTCATTTTTAGGGCTTCAGAATTGATATTCTTTGGATTCTTGGAATTTCTATTATAGTTTCAACATGAGAGCTCACTGTAGATCAAGCTACGACTAGCCCTTAGGATTGTTGATGAATACGGCAACGTCGAAGAAAAACGCCTGAGGATTACTGTAGTCTACTGTATAACACAATTTGTTTTTTTTTGTAATTTTTGAAAACACGCATTTTTCAAATTTTTTAGGAATCTCCTATGCTAGGATCAGTTAGTTTCTAATTAGATCCAACATTCTAATTTTCTCAAATTCTGAATTTCTAAACTTTTCATTATCACTTCTGTTCATCAGAAGTTTACAACCACTTACACCGGTCTGGAACTTTTACAATCCTTCCTTATCATATTCGTTATCAGTGATAAGTTATAATCGTCTAGACTACCCTCAACAGTCCTGTCTGTTTTATTATGCTCTACTGATTTCCCGATCTCTTTTTCTCGTCTCCCTCGTTCTCCTCTGACAGTAACACACTTCCAGACCAGTTAGTCCTCTACAGTACCTGCAGTACCCGAGAGGTACAGTACTCCTCCATCCTACAGTATGCTCTCCGCAGTTGCCTCAACATCATCACTCATTCAATTCACCACGTCATCGCCACTGGCTTCTCGACGAAAAATCAGTGAAATCTCCAACCCGACAGAATCGCTGTATCGAAAATGGTCGCATGTTGGAACGCCGCCAAGGTGCTCAACGAGCACAATGATAGCTGGAGGAATTCAGCAGAAGGGTGTACTCCAATTGACACTTTCAATGTCGGCAAAGGATCGAGCGAGGAAGTTCTCTGAGAAAATTGCCTCCTGGGTCAGCATGAGCATTTGTAAGTATATTGTGGACATCCTGACAAACAGACAGACAACAAGACTTAAATAATAGCTCGACAGTTTGATTAGAGCTGGGTTTTGGACTCCAATACTTGCATTTTTAAAAGTGTGGACATCGGGACACGCGGACAAACAGAAGTAGTTTGGTAGGTCTAGAACTGGACATCCGGACAAACAGACAAAAAGGGACATGAAGCTAATTTCATATATCGTAAAACCTGTATTAGGCGGGCCCTCTGTGTCTGCCCTTCCGAGTGAGGTCTTACAGTAGTTTGGGTTCATTTCGAGAGCCTTTACCAACTAGATTTGGACATCCGGACAAACGGACACCTTTTCAAAGCTTTTTGGGCTCTTTGGAGGCCTTTAAAAACGTATCTTCAACTAGATTTAAGACATCTGGACACACAGTTTTTTCTCTTAGCAATCTGATCATATTCATAACACTTTATCACTTTGATTGATTGTGAATTGTTCATTGATGAGTTTGAGTATCAAGGCTCAAGCTTTTGAGGTGGTGGTGCCCAATACTTGAAATATCAGAAGATATGAATTTCTGCAACACCCTCTATATTAAACGCTCGATTCCCCCTTTTTGGTTTTTTTTGGAGCCCTTGGAGCTCTTGGAGCATTTGGAGCATTCGAGCTGGATCTAATGCTGGGAAGCACACCAAAACTCATTGACAATTATCACACACGCCCGATTCGTGAGAACTTTTAGGTGTCTCACGACCGACCCACTTTTTTTTCTTTATTCAGAATTTTTTTCATTTTGCAAAATTTGGGAGTTTTTAACAGACTTGCTGGGTGAAAAATGGCTGAAAATAGGTCTGAAAAGGTCCAAAATGTGGCGAAAAAATGCATAAAATGCTCTTAAATAACCTAAAATAGCCGAAAAAAAACCGTCTCAAGTGGCTTAAAATAAGTCGCTAGGCTCTAAAATTGGCTCAATTAGAATTTATTGTTCGCTGAAAATGGATCTTCTTGATCGTACAGATTTCGAAAAAAATTCAATTTTTGGATTTTTGGAATTTTCTGTGCTCCAAAACCGGCTTGTAGTCTCTCTCTCTCTCCAAGTACAACATTTCTTTTCTCCTCTTCCTGTACTCAACTCCAAAATATCTTATTTTTTGTCTCTTTTAGGATACATTTTGCCGCTGGAGCAGCCTCTGTTTTCCTGCTCTCTCTGCCCGGAAACAATTCATTTTCATATATAGAGGGGTTTCCGTTTTTTTGGTCTCTTATTTCTCTTATTTGACGGATTGGCCATTGAGCCTCCTAGGCATGGACATCCGGACACACAGATTCCGGAGAGCGTTTTTTGATCTATTTTAGTTAATTTCTGTTTTTATTTTTGAACTGCTTTTTCGGTCCATTTTAAGTCATTTTCAAATCAATTTAAGCTGATTTTTTTTGTTGTTAATTTTAGAGGTTCACGACCATTTTGAATTAGTTTTGGATCCAATTTTTAGACACCATTCAAACTGATCTGTTTCTAAGTTTATTTTTGGATGATCGTTTTCCACTATTTTGCCCATTTTTCTACAATTTTTCGGCTCATTCCAGAACCGAAAACCCCTTTTCTCTATGCCCCGATCCAGTCCAGATTCATAATTATAGCCTGGTCCTGGATCTCATTAAAATCTTCATTCTCTTCCTCCGCTCCTTTGTGTTTTCCTTTTTCCGCTGAAATAAGAAATTTCTGGAAAAACAGGAAACAAGGGAAAATTGGGGATTAGTGACTGATGAGGTGTTATGTGGTATTCGTCTTTTTTTTTTTTTTTTGAAAAAAAATGTACCTTCAGGAGATTTTTGGACATTTTCAAAGGACTTTTACAGCGTTCAGTTGGAATTTTGAGGTTTTTAAGACCGTAAAACCTGTATTAGAAGGGCCCTCTGGAGGTACTTTGGAACAATAGAAGGGTCCTTCTAATACAGGTTTTACGGTATTTCATTTTTTGTATTGGAATTTCCAAATTCCAAAGAAAGGAATTACGAATTCTGATGTTTGAAGTTTCTAAAAAAATTCAGATGACGTCGAAAATTGATGAGGTATATCCCAGCTAATATTTCAATCAACATGCGATACATCCATTAGTCGCTTTTTCTCCGTTTTCCGGAAGAGCCTAAAAATGAGAAAAGAACGAGAAATGCTGGTTGCTATGGTGACTGAAAACTGGCGGAAAATCGGCTCAAATTGGCTGAAAAATTCACTGAAAATGGCTGAAAATGATTCAAAATTAGTCAAAACTAGACTGAAATTCGTTCAAAATTGCTTAAAATGGCTCTAAATTGGCTGCCAAGTTATCGAAATCAGTGGATATTTTCTATGCGATTTCAACCCAAGTTTTGAGCCAGTTTATGGAAAACTTTTTTGAGCAATAACGCAGTTGTTTTCTTCCTCTCTAGTACCTTTTTTCCAAGTTTTAGAGCACTTGATCCCTCGTTTTCTCCCCATATATCACCTAAAACTTGCTCATTTTCGAGCATTCATGACACAAAACATGTACGTGTGAAAGAATGTGTAACCCAATTCCTTCTCTATTTTCCCCTTTCTAACTTGAGAATGAATAAAAATGCAGCTCAAAAATTGTGAGTACACAAATCGGTCCAAAAACATAAGCCAAAAAAAATGAGTGCCGAAAAATGGGCATCGGAAATGGGAAAAAGTGAAAGTTTCAACTGTTTTATGGGGGGGTCACACGAGGCCTCAAGTTTGGCCTAGATTATCCGGAATGGGCCTAGGAAAGCCTGAATGTGCTTCTGAAAACATTTGGCTCCAAAAAAAAAAAAGGAAAATCTAAGGATTCTGAATTTTCGGACTTATCGAAGTCGGAATTTTGAACTTTAGTAACGACTTTCTCGATTTTTCTGATTTTTACCTTTCCTTTTGAATTTTCGTCAAAATCTGAGAATTCGTATAGCAACGGATGTGACATCTCTAATTCGTTCCTTTCATCGATTTAGCTCCATCTCCCTTTTCCCTTATAAATTCTGACTGATTTGAGATGCTTTTTGGGTTCATCGGGCTCTCAAAGAAGCTGTAAAATGCTCTAGACATACACATGTTTCGAATTCCTGAATCGTTTCTGACTTAAATAAAGAAAGTCTCCTTTTGAAAGGCTCTCCTAGAAGGCTCCATAAAGCTCCAGAAGCATCTAGAAGTCGTCCGTCGGAAGAATTCAAAAATGTTCATTATACGGAATTTTACTTTTTATGATTGGCTTTTTCGTTTGCGAGATGACCCCTCATAAAAGTCGCCTCTTCCCTCCCCGCCCATGTGTTTCTGAGCAGAAATAGAGAGAACTTTTAGAGCGCCCCTATGACTCGTTGGTTGGCCCCTTCGTGTTTTAATTAAATTCCGGAGGTCTCTCCCCTCCTTTTTCTCGGTTTTCCGGGCTCTTTTTCCATTTTTGAGTCACTTTTTCGGAGCTCTAAGAACATGGTTCGAAAAGGGCTCATTTCGTTTTCTTGAGCTTTTTGAAAAACCCCAAAAGTATAGCAATTTTCAAATTGGATTACGGTAGCTAGAACCGTAACCACAGTAATCCTTCAAAAAACTGCAAGTTGTTTCGCAAACTACAGTAATCCCTCTCATCTGTTCAGGGCTATTAAAATGAAATCAAAGATTATTGTGGATTTGGAGGGTTACGGTAGCTTTCGATTATTAGCTAAGAATCTAGAAAGTTCAGTAGCCTTGGAGAGGCGAGAGAGAGAGAGAGAGAGAGAGAGAGAGAGAGATTACTGTACTGTGTGAAACTTGGAGTAAGTTTCAGAGGGTTAAGGCTTCCATTTCGGTCGGTCGAAAATCGCCGACCGCCGACCGACCACCGACCCAACCGATTTCGTGCCTTTGCGCATCAAAATACGAGTTTTTGCGTACGAAGCACCTTATTTTACGACAAATGAGGCATTTATTGAGTAGTTTGTCGTAAAATACAATGCAGCGTATGCGAACACGTTGACGCGCAAATGCACGAAAACGGTTGGCGCTCCGAACGATCGATCAACTCGGTCTGTGGTCGGTCGGCCGGCTAAATTTCCCAACCGAATGGAAGCCTTACCGAGGATTACTGTAGTTTTTCATTTTTCTAGTCTGATATCATAGAAATACCGGGATCCTACGGTTTTCCAAATTTGAGGCGTACTGGGTACAAATTTTGTACCCTCGGCTCCTCTAAGCTCCGCCCCTTGTTTCGGCTCGGCTCATTTTCGTCCAGATCTTTTTTTTTCTGCATTTTCAGCCATTTTTTCAGCTCCTCTATTCCTTTTTCTCCATATATGTATTTCTTTTTTTTTGTCCCATAACTTTATTTATTAGAAGTCTCTTTTTCTTTTTTTTTCTTTTCTTTTTTCTTCTTCCTCTTCTTCTTCTTCTTTCCATATTCCTCCCCGTCAGAATATGTGTTTGGTGCTCCGTGAGCCCTAGGAAAAGAAAAAGAAGAAGAAGAAGCCATCACACCTCTCGTTTTTTCGGCGAAAAAAGAATTAATTTCGTACCTTCTCCGAATTTCCTCATGTTTTTTTCCCGGAAAAAAAAATAAACGCCGCTTTTTTCGATGAATTGAAAAGTTGGAGGCATCAGGTGGTCCTATTTTGTTTTTCCTCTCTTTCACACCCTTTTTTATTGATGATGGACGCCTTCTGAACCTGAACACTGGGTCTTCTGGAGACATCCAGAAGCTATTGAATCCTTTATTTATTTATTTATATGTAGATGCCCAATTCCAATTTTCGAGAAAGCGTTTTTTTTCTGAGCGGAGGGACCCAGGTGTTATTTTGACCATTTTTGGAGACAAAATACTAGAATTCTTGGAAAAAACTGGATTCTGGAGGTGTTTCAGAAGACGTCAGATGTCCAGAAATTAAATATCTTAATTTTGAAATTTTCAGAAATTTTCGTCAGATGTCTAGAATCGGATTTTTTGTATTTGTGAAATACCGAATTGTCTAAATTTTGAATTTCTAGATTTTAAAGCTTTTGGAGCTCATAGAAGACGTTTTTTTCGAACTTTTCGACTTTCGGGGTTTTTGGATTTCATAAAATCTGAATTTCTGAATAAAAATGGATTCTGAAGCTCATAGAAGACGTCAGATGGCTAGAATCGGGTTCTCTGAAATCTAGATTTTTTTTTGGATTTTGTAAATTATAAACTTCTGGATTTTCATGTTTTGGGTAACGAATTTTCTGAATTTCTGAATTTCTGATGTTTTGATAATCAAAAATTGTAATTATTTGGACTTTTGGATTTTCAAATGGTTGAATTTCTAGGATTCTGAAAATTTGGATTTTTGGGTTTCAGAATTTTTTAGAGTTTTTGTAGAATTTTTGGATTCTGAAGCTGCTTGGAAGACGTCCCATTTCTTGCCAAATTATCTATCGATTTCCCCCCATGCATTGCAAATAAATATATTATTATTACCTACCGTATTCAGACTGCAAAAAATACTCTCTAACTCTATTTTTTTCGGACAACAATAATGTCTGATTTCCTGGTCTTCTGAATTTCGGATTTTTGGATTTTTTCGAGTTTCCAAGAATTCTCCAATTCTGAAATTCTGAATTTCCCAAAGAATTCCTTCCACTTCTCCATTTCTATATATTTTCCATTTTTCCAATCCTATATAATTCTCCTTCCATGATTCATATGCCGTGGGAACTACATCTATCCGGAAACAGGAAAACAAAATATTTCATAGAAATCTCTAATCTCATACATCTCCCTTCACTTTTTTCACACATTTTTCTTTTTTTTTCTTTACGAAAGAAATTCTGAAATTATAGAAAAAAAATTTCCTGCTATTCACACTTTTTTTTTCTTGAATAGAATAGATTAAATGGGGTTTTTGTAGTTTGTAGTCTTTGAATTTTAGGATTTTTGAAGATTTTTGAGATCTAGAATTTCAGGATTCTGGAAGTTTTGATTTTTATAAAAATTCAGAATTCACAACACGTTAATTTTTGGGATTTTAAGACCCGGGAGACGTCTGAAAGTGTAGACTTCGAAGATTCTAGAGTTACAAAGTTTCACAATTTCGAGAAAAACCGAAGACGTGACGAAGATTCTGAAGACTTGAATAGCATAGAAGGTACTAGAATAGGACCTAAACTGTCCTCACAATCTAGCATTGCTCATCCTTCCGGGATTACTGTAGAAACTTGAAAATCCGGTTTCTGACTCAATTTCTACATCATCTAGACTCTCTCTTATTCATTCTTTTTTGCTCACTCCCGGGCCCCTTTTCATGTTTTCCTCTTCCTGTTTTGTTGGAAATTTTAAACGGACTCCTCCATTCAACTGGAGCTCTCGGGGAAACCATTTAATATGTAACTACTAGCTTTCTCTTCTTCCTGGCCGACGCTTTTCTGAAAAAAAAACACACTTTTTTTGTTTATTTTTTTCTCGAAAATCCAGCCTTTTTTTTCGATTCTCTCTGAAAACTACAATTTTCTACAGTAACCTTGGGTACTGTAACTGTCAAACAAGATGATGAAGGTCCCCGTGATATCGCTGGACGCCACAGACACTGATGACGAGGATTCTGAGACAAAAACGACGTGCAAAAGAAACGGATCGGTACGAAAAGTGCGCGAAATTCAAATGGATTGTGCCATTGGCGACCCCTCTGGCTCACCGGGCACAACTCTGAATACAGTGATCTCGAGGTTCGGGCGGTCCCAATCCCTTCGAAGACCACCCACGGCGAAAACGACGAAAAAGGAGGAGAATGGAACGCCTGGAAGCTCCCGAGGAGCATCTCCAACGCCTAGCTTCATTGATATCAGTCCTATCATTCGAACCGCTTCGTTGAGAGTCAAGAATCAGTTGGCACAGCGGCTCTCGGAGCCACTGAAGAAGGCGGAGCATCGAATATCGAAATTGCTCATGACAGAGCCGGATGATGAGGAATTTCAGCATTATAGTCTGGTGCATGGACTCAAAGGGTGTAATAATAATGATTGTAGGTTTTTGCCCTGGTGGCCTAACTTGGGTTTTCTAGGCCACCAAATTTTATAGTATTAAAATGGCCTGGAGCTCTTTCTGGGTCATTCTAGGGGGACATTGACGGCGTTAAAAAGATTTCTCATGAAAATCCCGTCATTTTGATACCCATATTGCCTATGTTTCGAAAAATTTTAAATTCAGAAGACGTTGAAATTCTGAATTCTGAATTTTTTGAAACAAAGGCGATATGGGTATCAAAATGACGGAAATTTCATAGCGAAATTGTTTGACGTCGTCATTTTTTTGAAATTTTTGAGTTTTAGAATTCTAAAGTTCAGAAGGCGTCGAGATTCTGAATTTTCAGCTTTTGGGAACATAACCAATATGGGTATCAAAAGGACGGGAATTTCAAGACAAACTTATTTGACGTCGTCATTTTTGAATATTTTAAGATTCTGAGTTCAGAAGACGTCAAAAATAGTAGAAATAACACTGGAAGGAAGCATTTTATAAGAGTCAAAAACCTCGAAAGTCAAATTTCAAAGTCCCAATTTTTCCCATTTTTGCAGCTGAAGACGCGGGCTCCTCAAGCGACGAAGACGATCCAGAATATCTGGAACTTCTGGAGAGGGATTCGATTATCAATCGATACGAGAAGGGACCGGATGCGGCCGACGTCGATGCTTGGGAGAATCCGGATTTCGAGGTTTACACCAATTTGGATCGATTCGGATTTGTTCAGTGAGTTTTTGGGACGGATGGCCTAACTGTTTTGCTAGTTTGAGTTCTCTAGGCCACCAAATGCGCCTGGTGTGATTTCTAGGGCATGTTAGCATGGTGGCCTAGAAAACTCAACTTGCAAAAGTTCGGCCACCATTTTAGACAGCCTAAAAATGGCCTGATATTCATCTGGGGGTGTTTCTAGGCCATTCGCCATAGTGGCCTAGAAAACTCCAATTATAAAAAAGTTAGGCCATCATGAGAAAATTGTCTAAAACGGTCACAAAATGCTTCAAAAAAGCTGTAGAAACCATAATTTTGGGGATTTTTGACTGTTTTAAAGTTGGTGGCCTAGAAAAAACCAATTGCAAAAGTTCGGCCATCATGGTAAATGACCTAGAAATGGCTTAACATGACTCTGATGTGATTTCTTAATCATTTTGACACGGTGGCCTAACTTTTGCAAGTTTGGGTTTCCTAGGCCACCAACTTTTATGACCTAGAAGTGTTACGATATCCATTTGGAGTGATTTCTAAGCGATTTTACCATCGTGGCCTAGAAAACTCGACTTTGAAAAGTTAGGCCACCATTGGAAAATCGCCTGAAACAGTCAAAAAATGCTCAAGAACTTTAAAAATTCTATGAAATCTGAATATTGGAAATTTTTGACTGTTTAAGGTCATTTTACCATGGTGGCCTAGAAAACCCAACTTGAGAAAAGTTAGGCCATCATGTTAAATAGCCAAAAAATGACCTGATGTTGTCCTTGTATGTTACCTAGGCCGTTTAGCATAGTGGCCTAACTTTTGAGTTTTATAGGCCACACTGCTTCCTACCAAAAATCTGTAATTTTCAGCAAAAAAGGCGAAAAGACTGACGAGCGAACGGACCTTCAAAAACGGCGAATAATCAAGGAACTGAGTCGGGAGAAGAAATGGCTGAAAATGATAGAAATCTGGAAATCTGGAGGACCGTCGAAGAAAATGGAGGATCGCATCTGGAAGGGGATCCCTGAGAAACTTCGAATTGTGATCTGGCCACGCCTCCTAGGAGCAGAGAGAATGAAGCATGAGAGACGAGATATGTATGCGGAGTTGCTCCTGAGAGCACGATTAGTGTCAAAAGACATCAAACAGATTGATTTGGACATCAATCGGACGTATAGGGATCATTTGGCGTTTAGGAAGAGATATGATGTGAAGTGAGTTCTCATCTATGTGCCTTTAAAGTGCTTAAAATACAAAATTGAGGGCGTTAAATGAATTCCCCATGAAATTCCCGTCATTTTGATACCCATATTGCCCATGTTTCAAGAAGTCGAAAATTCAGAAGACGTTGAGATTCTGAATTTTCGGTTTTTTTGAAACATTAGCGATATGGATATCAAAATGACGGGAATTTCATATCAAAGCTATTCGACGTCGTCCTTTTTCAAAAAATACTAGATTCTGGATTCAGAAGACGTCAAGCTTCTGATTATTGTATCTTTTTAAATACCGACAATATGGGTATCAAAATGACGGGAATTTTACGGAAAATTTTTTGGACGCCGTAATTTTCTATATTCTTAGGATTATGGAATTCTGGAGACGTCAAAAATCTGAAATTTGGATTTTTTGAAATATAGACAGTATGGGTACCAAAATGACGGGTTTTCAATAGGAAATGTTTTTGACGTCATCAGTTAAGAAAAATAAGAATTCTGGGATTAGAAGACCTCAATTTTAATTATATGCCGGAAATGTCCTTGAAAATTGTCTGGTAATTTCAAAAAACTTTTTTTTCAACAAATCGAAAATTCAGAATCTCGACGTCTTCTTAATTCACGAGTCCGACTATTTATAGAAATTGACGATGTTAGAAAAATTACCATGAAAAATCTGGCATTTTGATACCCATATCGCCTATATTCTGAAAAATCGAAAATTCTGAATCTCGACGTCTTCTGAATTTTCGATTTTTCGAAACATATGCAATATGAGTATCAAAATGACGGGAATTTCATAACAAACTCATTTGACGTCCTCATTTCTAAAAATTTTATGATTCTGAATTCAGAAGACGTCAAAATTCTCCATTTAAAAACCCTAATTTCGAATTTCCAGACAAAAATCGTTGCTGAACGTGTTGGCGGCGTATTCAATGTACAACACAGAAGTGGGATACTGTCAAGGAATGTCTCAAATCGCCGCCCTTTTCCTGATGTATCTGGACGAAGAGGACGCCTTCTGGTGTCTCCATCAACTGATGGTCAGCCCAAAACACACGATGCACGGCTTCTTTGTTCCCGGATTTCCGAAATTGCAGCGATTCGAAGAACACTTCAAAAAGATACTGAAAAAGTACAAACCGAGGGTTTTCAAGTATTTGGAGAAACAGGATATACCGTATATCTACCTGACGAAATGGTGGTTCGGATGCTTTTTGGATCGTGTGCCGTTCTCGTTGGCACTGAGACTTTGGGACGTTTTTCTGGTCGAAGGAGACTCGATTCTGTTGGCCATGGCTTATAATATTATGAAGATGCATGAGAGTTAGTTTTTCTTTTTACTTTTTAATTTTTTTTAGAAAATTGAAAGCTGAGCATTACTTCCTTCAATCGAATTTTCTCGAAAAATTACGTCGTTCAATGAATTTGTCTTAGAATTCCCGTCATTTTGATAACCATATTGCCTATATTTCAACAAATCCATCTTCAGAAGCTTGACGTCTTCTGAATTGTCGATTTTTTGGAATATAGGCACTATGGGTTTTCATGACAAATTTGTTTGGCGTCATCATTTTTGAAAAAAAAAGCTGATTCTGAAATTTAGAAGATGTCAAAATTCTTAATTTGCGATTTCTCGAAACATAGGCAATATGGGTATCAAAATGATGGGAATCCGCAGAGAAATCCATCTAACATCGTCAATTTTCAAAGTTTTTGGATTCTGGACGTCAAAACATTGATTTTTCGAGAAATTGGTTTTTGACGTCATCGGAATTCCGAATCCAGCTTTTTTTGAAAAATGGCGACGTTAAATCAATTTGATATGAAATTTCCGTCATTTTGATACCCATATTGTCTGTATTTGAAATTCTCCGATTTTCGACATCATCGGAATTCAGAATCCAACTCCTTCGAAAATTGACGACGTCAAATCAATTTGCCATTGAATTTCCGACATTTTGATACCCATATTTCCAATTGTCGAAAATTTTTAGTTTTTGACGTCATCTGGATTCAGAATACAAAAATTTTGATGAATGAGGACGTCAAAAAAGTTTGCCATGAAAACCCCGTCGTTTTGATACCCATTTTGCGCATCTTCGAGAAATCAGGTTTTTGACGTCTTCTGGATTCAGAATCCACAGTTTTCGAAAAATTACGACGTTAAATGAATTTTTCGTAAAATTCCTGTCATTTCGATATCCATATTGCCTGTCTTTGAAAAAATCCAGAATTCAGAATCTCGACGTCTTCTGAATCCAGAATCTAGAATTTTTCGAAAAAGGACGACGTCAAATAGCTTTGTTATAAAATTCCCGTCATTTTTATATTCATATTGCCCTTTTTCGAGAAACTTGATCATTTGACGTCTTCTGAATTCATAATCTACAAATTTTTCAGAATCAATCCGAAAGCACTCGATGGAATCGTTCATGGAGTTCATTCAAAACGAGATTGCTCAGGATTTCGGCTATTCGGACGACGAGGTCATGTATTCTCTTCGGGAGACTCTAAGCAAGCTGAAGTCCGACCGTCAGCACGTCCCGCCCCCACCGCGTCCAGAAGACCTCTCAGAAGTCCCGACGAAGGCGTTGGGCCCGATTCTTCAGAAGCCGATGGCGTCGATTCGCGAGGAGATCCATGAGATTCAGTCGCGTCGAAGTCGCGCCAATTGTAGGTTCTTCAATCGGCATGTGTATGAGGAGAAATATAAGATTTATTTGAAAATCTATCAGAAGCAGTTGGGCGTCGTCACGACGTCTTCTGATTCTTCTGATGATGATTCTCGAACTACTTGTAGCACGTCTTCTTCTTCGTTTTAGTGTGTCTTCCCTTTTTTGTGTTTTTGCATGATAAATCATTGTATTGTTTGCTCTGGCCTTTTTATGCATGTGATTAACACTAATTAACCCAATTAACCCAATTTACACATTTTCCAAACGCTGTCTGTCTGTCCAGATGCCCAGGGCTTTAATTCGGTCGGGAAATTTGGTCGATCGCCGACCGCCCGCCGACCAATCTGACTGACCGCGGATTGTCCCAGCCGATCTAGTCGACCCAGTTGCCCGGCAGCCGAGCTTGGCCCGCGGTCCGTCAGCTAGATTTGCGGTCGGTCGACCAGCGATGAATCAGCTAGGTCGGCGATCGGTCGGTTGGATCGGCGGTAGGATGGATAGGTTGGCGATGTTGGTCTGCGGTCGATTGGCTGGTTCGGCGATCAGCGGTCGGTCGACTAGGTCGATAGGTCGGTTAATTAGGCCGGCTAGGTCGGTTGACTTGTCGGTCGGTGGTAGACTGCCGGCCGGCTTGGTCGATCGGGTGGGTCGGCGGTCAGTCCACCAGATCGACGGTCAATCTGCGGTCGGTCGGCTGGCGATCGACTAGAACACCTGTGGTTCGGCTAGATCGTCGGTCGGTTAGCTCTGTTGCCAGTCGGTCAGTTGGCTAGACGGTCGGTAGGCTAGTTTCGGCAGTCTGTCGACCGGTCGCCGATTTCCGACCAACCGTAGCTTTAGGCTCTCCGTTCTCCCCCTTCCTTCTGTGTGTCTGTTTGTCCGGATGTCCAGAAATTAAGAATTAAAAAATCCAGAATTTTCCAGCCACTGGCCGCTCACCGCATCCGAAACGGAAAGAATCCGGCCGAGGACCGTCGAAAGGACCGCCACCTGTGCAACACAAATGGAATGGCAATGCTAGTCAAGATTCGATTCTAGGAAACGGACGGGAGGTTCCGTTTGAGGTGAGCAGATATTTAGAAGTGAATTATCGCTTTTTTTTTTGGACAATAGACGATATAGGTATCAAAATGACGGGAATTTCATATGAATTTTTTTTGACGACGTCGTTTTTAAATATTTTCGGATTCTGGGGTTCAGAAGACGTCGAGATTCTGAATCTTCGGAACATAGGCAATATGGGTATCAAAATGATCAGAATTTTGAAGAAAATCTAATTGACGCTATAATTTTTCAAAATTTTGAATCCAGAAGACGTTAAAAGTTAAAAACGGAGGACGTGAAAGTTCTGAATTTTCAGAAGACGTCGAGATTCGGAATTTTAGGAATATATGCACTATGGGTATCAAAACGACGGGAAATTCATGGGAAATTCATTTAACGTCATCATTCCTCCAGATTCCCACCCGTCGAGTGCCCAACACCAGCTCTCCGGCTCTCTCAGCTGACGCCTACATGTCTCCTCCGCCTCACGGATCGAATGGATCAGCCCTCCCACCGACTGGATCGAGTAAGAGAGACACCACTCCCACCACCTCCACCACCCATCGGTACGTGTATCTTTTCTACTCCTTGTGAACTAACTTGACTGGTTCTGTCTGTTTTTGCAGCTTTCCTAACCCCGAATTAACCGATTTCTTACAACCAAACTACAGTAACCCATCAAACAATTTCAAAACTAAGTGACCCATGAAAAATTGTCTGAAAATTCCAGATATCACAACAGTCATCAGAATCCATCTCGTGGAGGCACACCATCGACACAACGTCTTCGAGACGAGCGAAATGGACAAATGGTCCTGCTCTCCAGAGCCAGCGACTCGGAACCCGATGTGACGTCGCCGGTGGAAGGGAATAGAAGAGGTGAGGAATTCAGAATTCAGAATTTCCGGAAATGACGACGTTAGATAGATTTTTCATGGAATTTCCAGAAATTTGATACCCGTATCGCCTATATTTGAAACCTTCAGTTTTTCGACGTCTTCTGAATTCAGAGTCCAGAATTTTTGAAAAATGAGACGTCAAATAAGTTTGTCATGAAATTTCCTGCATTTTGATACTCATATGGTCCACTTTTGAGACATTTGGTTTTTTGACGTCTTCTGAATTCAGAATCTCAAAAATTTAAAAATTGACGGCGTTGAAAAAATTTCCCATGAAATTAGCGTCATTTTGATATCCATATTGCCTAGTTTCCCGCAAATTTGATTTCCTGACGTCTTCTGAATTCAGAATCTGGAATTTCTCCGAAAAATGATGACGTTAGATAGATTTCCCATAAAATCTCTGTCAATTTGATACCCGTATTGCCTATATTGCGCGAGTTCGGTTTTTTGACGTCTTCTGAATTCAGAATCTTTGAACTTCGAAAAATGACGACGTCAAATAAGTTTGTCATGAAATTTCCTGCATTTTGATACCCATATTGTCCACCTTTGTGACATTTGGTTTTTTGACGTCTTCTGAATTCAGAATCTCAAAAATTTTAAAATTGACGGCGTTGAAAAAATTTCCCATGAAATTAGCGTCATTTTGATATCCATATTGCCTAGTTTCCCGCAAAATTTCAATTTTCAGAATTCTAACGTCTTCTGAATTTTTCAGAAGATTCATGGAAGGACGCCTCCACGATGCACATCTCAACGGCCACGTCGAGAATCACGCATTCTGGCAACAACATCACCAGAATCGAGTTGGATGGAGACGTTTCTGTGATCTAAATTTTTTGAATTTTTTGAAATTTTCAAATTTCCCGCCAAAAATGCTTCTTTGAATTTTTTTCTCGTTTTTTTCTGTAAATTTCTCTCTACGAGTCTCTTCTCTTTTTTGCTGAAAAAATCGTTTTATTGCATAATTTTTCCCCTACCAATTTTAGGCCTGTGTTTCAGGCCTTTTCAGGCCTTTTTAAGGCCCTTTTAGGCCTGTCGTTGTGATTGAAACCCTCCAAAAATCGATAATTCTCCTTTTTTTTCGGATTTTAATTTATTTCAATTTAAATTAATTTTTTTTCTAGGTATTTATTTTTCTCTTCCCTCTCTTTCATTCTCTTTTCTCTCTCTCACTCTCTCTTTCTGTGCTAAATGATAAAATGATAAACTACAAACTACAAGGACCTTTTTTTTTTGAATTGGTGAATTTTCAGATTTTTCTGGGAATTGGGAGTTTTTGAATTTCTGAAAATTCGGATTTTCTCGATTTTTTCAACTGGAGAAAATGGGAATTTGTGGGTTTTCGAATTTCGGGAACAATTTTTCAGAATTTTCGAAACTTGAAGTTTTCTAATTAGTGAAAATTTTCTGATTTTTTGAATTGCCTAGACATTTTTTAAATGGGAAAAAGTTAGAAAATTTGGAATTTTCGATAGTTTTGAAAATTTCTGGTTTTTGGGAAAAAATGTGGATTTTCGGAATTTCAATTTTTTTCGAACATTTGAATTTTTTAAGTATTACTCTTGTCCGAAATCAATGCACGTTGCGGCCGAGAAAACAACGGTGGGCGGAGCTTAGCTCCCACAGAGAGAACCTTACTGTATTTTAAAATTATTGCACGCGCCTTTAATACAGTACCTCAGCATTTATCGAATTTTCTCTAATTTCTCTAATTTTTTCGCTTGTTTCTGTCTAATTTTGTGTAATTCTTATAAATCTTTAATTTATTGTTCTTTTAAAATAGAAAAAAAACAGCCAAATAGGGCCCAAAATAAAAAAACGTCCGAGGTACGGTATTTAAAGTCGCATGCATCCATTTGTTGTTTTCGTTGTGCGACCGACGATGCGATTTTGAGTAAATTTTCGGCCGCAACGTGCATTGATTTCTGACGAGAGTAATACAAAAGCAGCTCGTTCCGTCAAAAAATGAAAGAGGAGATCGACTTTGACGCATTTTTCGAAAACCGAAAATTTCTCAAATTGTTCGGTGTTTTAAAGGTGGTGTACGGTGAAATGTTTTATTGCATCAAAATGTGCAGAAATGCATGTAGATTTACATAAAAATAAAGAAAAAATTCAAAAAAAATTCCTTCATCGAGAAATACACATCGAAAAATACGATGAAAGCCCTTATGGACGAGGTTTTTTGTAGGCCTTCCGGTGAGTTAAAG